AATCGTCCATTTGAGTTTGATATTGTTCTCCGTAAGGTGCTTGCAGGTTGTGGGACACTGTTGTTGTACTGTTGTACTGCAATAGTGGCCGTGCGGTCATTTCCGAAATATTCCTGATCTGTGGAAGTGTGATCCGTTTGTCTTCTTTTTGCGCTGTTGGGATGGCCGAATTTGGTTTTCTGAGAGTGCGCCAGATGAAGTTCCCAGGGTATCTGTTTCTCTGAAAAGTTCTGCACAAGCATTTATCTTTCCGCACTTTTGACTCCGTTGTGTTGCAGCGCGTTTCAATACGCTTGCAGAGTCTGGATGCAGCTTTGCTGGTGTCAGTGCGGGTGATTGCTGAGAATTTGGTCTGTATGTGTTGTCTTTCTGTAGATTTCCGTCTGTAATTGCGCTTTGGTGATTTCGTGATGAGGATGTCCACGAGTGCCAGTTGCCATCGGTTTCTTATTCCATTGTGAATTGGATATAATCAGAAACGCTGTTTATTGGTCGACATGTTCATTGGGCATATACCGAGTGATTCGCAGAAGTCTCCTTTTTCTAAGGATCCATTATATATGCAGTTCAGCGACAGATGTGGGTTTATATCAAAAGATGTCATCATTTCATGTTTTTCGATGCTATGTTCTTCAGTTTCTTCTCATAAATCTGCCCTGCATTGTCGACTTAGTGTTGTGACCCACTGATGAAATATATCAACGTCCTCCACAGTTCTTTCGACAAGTTGTAGTTTGGAGTCCTCGGGAGTAATACGATTGGTCGAGGGTACTTCGCTAGGGTCGAAATTACCTTAAGTGACAGTATACTATTTTAACATGAGCAGCAATCACGAACCTTTCGATGAATCCCAGTGAAAGTGAACTTTCCTTGTTGTTGGTGTATATCTACGTCAGGACTCTCCGTTGTCACAAAGAAGTAATGTCACTCGAAGGATGCGTTTATGAAATATCTCATCTAGTTTTCTGATGCATAAGTGTGCTATCTTCTTCCATTAAACTCGATAACAACTTTTCCACCGACCTTCATTTTTCTCAATAATCACCTGGTGTATGAACTTTTTAAAATACTGCCAACATGAGATTGTCATCTATTTCTACGGGTTTCTCAACCTAAATGAAGTAGGCGCAACTACAACTACACATAATAAAAAGAAGCGATGCGGCGACAAAATCAGTTGTGTTAACCAGCAAATCTACACAGCTTCAAAAGCAAACAAAAATTTGGCCATTGAACCAAACTAACAGAAGCCATAACAAAACCGACCGGAGCGGTAAGGCAAATAATGATCCAGTCCTAATTGAACCTACCGCTATCAAATGAGTCCACTACGTTTCGACCACAGATAAAAATAAAAGAGCAGAGATGGCAGCTATATTAAGAGATACAACCAGACAGCTGTGACTGACCTCTGGACATAACATCCAAATGGGAATATAGTAAATTACAACTGACAATCAACACAAGCATTCTTGTTCAACCTGAAAGCGTGGAGATGTAGTGTCCAATCGTAATGTATTCACCTTTAAGCAAGGGAGAAACAATTCTGCCTGGAGGGGAGTCGCACTATGTCGCCTTGAATGTTTCTGGAAATGAGTCATGACATATTGGCTTAGTTGAAGCTTAATAGAGGTCTAGAAGAATATTCGAGATCGTTTGCCAGTTATAATTCAACTCGGTTGCTCCGTAGTTCGTAACTCATTGTATGCAGTGCCGATGGGTGCCAGTGGGAGCCGTCTACATTTTGTTGGTATAATAAAAGCCCCCTGGGGGGCAACATCATTTTGACTGTTTGATAAGCCTGAAAGAGCGATGTACCTACCATGCTGTCCACACATCCGCAGGACGGTGGATGTGCGCAATGATCTGAGCTCAGGAGTGGTTACCGGCGTGCGAATACTATTCACCTCATTGGGTGGCGAAACGTTCCGAGCTCACCACAGGTCTCAATCATCAGAGTAGCTCAAATTTTCTAGAATAAACCATCACCTAGGTGAAAAATACTCGGAACCGATTGAGTAGTCATTGTTTTCGAAAACGTTTGGTGACAGATTTATTGCTGGGCAACGTTTCGCTTTTGACACAGAAGCTTCGTCAGGCCAAGTGATTAGGATCCGAGGATGGTCGAGATTTAAGGCAGAAGGAGAACCAATCAGCTAAGTCAAGCTAAATCTCCGTTGGGTGTCAGCCGAGAAATTTTTGTGTGTTAGGGTGGATGAACAAGTGCTGGGTCGATGGGGAAACCTACATGTGTTTCGGTTCCGCCTAGGGTCTAGTTCTCACCATCACCATCGACAGCATGACATCAGTTGTCAACACCGGTGCTTCACTGCCGTACAACCACGATTTATTTGAAAGCCTTACTGTAAAGAAAGAGTAAGGGTGGACGGGGAAGGGAGTTAGGGCTAGCTTAACACAATCATTCCGAGGTGCCTATACCTCCAGACATTCACTCAGGCGATCTGGATAGAAACTGACAACAAGAACGCCACTGACATCGGTTGACAGTGGTCCCCATCCTGGAAGGCGAGTAGCACCGACAGCACCCAAGCGTTTCGTGATCTCCTTCATACTCCTCTGCAAAGTCAAGGGTTGGCCACCTCTCTGCTTACGCCACTCTGAATTGGGCATGGAAAACAGCGCTCTCTTCGGCAAACGATGGGTCGGCATATGCAACACATGTTCCAACCAACGCAGCTAATGGTGCTGGACATATCCTTCAGTGGAAGTCCATGTTGCACAACCGAAAACTCGCTTTCTAATTGCCCCGTTATGGATTTTCCGACTCCAACCCCGCACGAGCTATGCTTCTGAGACAACGATTGTCGAACACCTGAAGACGTCTCAGGTCCGCTGCTCGAATAGGCCAAGTCTCACAGCCATACAACAAAACAGCTCGTACTGTAGCTTAACACATACGTCCCTTCAGATTCAGGGATAAACAACTCTGACGCCATAGGTGTCTCAAATTAGCAAACGCGACCTGAGCTTTGCAGATTCGGGCATTCACCTCATTTGTCACACTACAGCCAGAACTAATACAAATTCCAAGATACGTAAAACGCTTCACAGCTTCCAGCACCTCTCACTGGATTGTAACTGGCGCGTTCAGTGACTGCCCGTCCACGAGCATGACCTTAAAATTTGTGCAAAGTGCATACCAAAGGACGGGATGACTTCGGTCAGTTCATCCAAAAACACCTGCGCCTTCCCCTCCTCTTCGAACATGAGAATGATGTAGACTGCATATTCCAGATCGACAAGGTTTTCTTCATAGTCTATTTGAACACCAGGGTTTTGGAGACCCTACAGCGTTCGCTCATTATTTCATCGATCGCGAAGTTAAAAGGGAATGGAGAAAGTGGGCATCCCTGACGGACACCGCTTTGTGTACGGAAACTTTTGGAGAGCTCTTCGTACACTCACACATCCGGAAGTCTGAGAATACAAAGAACGCATTATGTCATGCGCATGGCGTTGTTCTAGCACCTGACGCAGTGTGAAGGTTTGGTCAACGCAACCCCTACCAGGCCGGAATCCCGCATGCTCCTCTCGACTCAGTATCTCAAATGTCATTTAATGGTCCCCCTTGAACGTCGTCTGAACCTTCTGTCCGCCTGTGTGGATGAGCTAGTGCTTAGATAGTTGTGTGACTTCCAACTCCACCCACAGTTTTTGCTGATGACTCTACGTGGATTGACAACCACATAGTCACGTGTCAACAAGGTTTATCTAAGAACGCTTTCCATACGCTCGCCTGTTCCACATCCTCGATTCTATTCAGGCTGCGATGCTTAGTAATCTCCGCCTCGGCTATCAGTCGCTATGGTGTGAATCGCACTCCCCGTCTTAAAACTTCCATGAAGCGTTTGTGTCAAAATCGAAACGTTGCCCAGCAATAAACCTGCCGATTGTCACCAAACTTTTTCGAAAAGTCTTACCTACTTTCTAGCTTGGAAGGCCAGCAGATTTTATTGCCCAAACCTCCATTCATTAGAGAATGCAAATGTCACGTGAGTACCACCTTCCAATGCAGCCCAGTAAGCGACAGTGGGTGCGCAAACCGTCACAGTGCAGTAAAGTACTGATCTTTCTAACCACTTAGCACAAATTTAGATACCTTTGTCGGAATGGCCACGAATAGATGCTACAGTCTTTTACAGAATGTTATGTATAAAACTGCCGAAAACTCTTCAGTAGCTTTGTTCGATTGTTTCCTTTTAACAGTGTCACATTTGTTGAATTGGCGGCCGTTTATCACAACGCTCCGAAACCTGTTTCAGCCTTCGTACAGTCTAAGAATACAAAATGATTGTGGGGCTACATGGCACTAGTACAGTCTAAGAATACAAAATGATTGTGGAGCTACGTGGCGCCGGGTCAGAACTACTCACGCAATGATTCACCATCTTCTTGGTTGTTGATTGTTTCGCTATTCCGCTTGAGCTTAGCAAAGTTTTCATGCTATATACAGTTTTCTGTATCATCTGGATAGTTGCTTCTCACGTAGATCTACGAGAATGCAAAATGCATAGGAGCACTGGGGTCGACTGCTAACGTAATTTGGATTGGTTGCGCCTGATTTGGCTGAACACTGCCCTGTCTCTCAAACCTCCAAGAAATAGCAATCCAACTTCATAGTGTGCTGCCGAAATAATATTTGCCAGGACACATCATCCCGTCATCGATTTTGTGTTATTGAGGAAAAAACACAGCAAAGCACCTTGAAACAGAGCAACGAAACAAAAACGTGCGACCATCTCAAGTATGATGCCGAAAATTGGTGTAAATTCCGTATTCTGGAAAGCATCTCTGCAAAACCTCAACGAGATGTATGTGATGGTATGTTACTATGAACAGATAACAAGCCGCGCTGTTGCCCGTGTGTTAGTACCTGTCACAACGTACAAGTTTTTCGGCTATAACAGACGCAGAGGTGAGAGTGGGATGAGTCTCCTAATTTACAATGTTTGTAGTCTCAGGATTTCTTGTTGCTTTTCAAGTAAGCCCAGAAGTTGTGGCCAAAAAATAAGCAGCAACGAGATTTCACAATCACACACAGACGCGCCATATTTGTGAGCAAGATAGTTTTATATTGCTTAACTAAAGCATAACTCCTTTGGGTGGAAAAATCATTATTGCTTAACTAAAGCATAACTCCTTTGGATGAAAAAATCATCTCCTCAGTACGTTAGTAATATACCAAGTAACTCAGACCTTGGGACCCACGAACGCTTTTGATAATATATCCAAATTCGTCGTTGTGAATTTCTCTTCATGTTCATAATGAAAAGAAGGGCTGAAGGATAAATCAGGTCAGTTAACGCTCCACTCGACTGCAATTAGTCTGGAGCTACCTTAATGCAGTTCAGCTTGGAAGGCTAGTGTTGAGAAACAGAACACAATTTTGTACACGAACTTGTTGTTTGGTGCATTATCTGAGTGAGGCAAAAACCGTAGTCATGACAACCTCCCACTAGTTGTCTTGCCAAGAAGGAATGAAGATCATACGTTGCAGTGTTTCAAACACTGTGGAGAATCAATGGATTTTGAATATTGCTCACGTAGCGCGCACAGTTTTGTCAGCTAGCTAGCGGCAATATAACAAGGGTCATGTACTGATCAACAAATTAAGAATGAGATCACGTTATCCAGAAACCAGTTGTTGGATCTAGCTGTCCAGTACTCTCAAATCTATCCCATAACAAGATGAACTACGTATGAATCTTAGACCAAAAGCCTCTGATTTGCGATAGGGTATCAAGGCTACGTAACAGTTTTCAAACAGCAGTGACTAAGTTGCTCTTCAACACCAATATTACATAATCGAGAATATATACGATAGTCGCTAGTCCAGCATCTTTATCTGTGATGTGTATATATTGTATGACACACTAATTTTAATGATCTCAGTTGCACCGTGGTACAAAAGCCGATGTGGTTAACCGGAAAATACCATTGCTCTAATTGTGTTAAAGCTCCAACATTTCGACCCTTGGAGTGGAAAGACTAGAATAATCTCTCCAGGATAGCTTCAGTGTAAAAAAACACATGGTTTTCATGAAATGATGCGCCCGTGTGATATTTCGAGACCAACTGCACAAATGGCCCTCTTACCTGGTCCTCCGGTTGGACGATGCGGTGCTTCACCGTGAAGTATGTCCATGAAGAAATCAGATGGGTTGTTGTGATTTTCACAAACATAACCTGTAGGTGTAGAAAAAGCAAAATATTATAAGGTCCGACTAAAGACCAGGCACTGTCGCTTTCCAAATTAGGCTCTAGTGCCCAGTGTGGCTTTGATTTGTGATGTGGGATCTGCAAGAATATCTTATCCAAAGGTCATTAGTTCCGGGAGGGATCCTAAACCTACTTTTGAACAGTATACTTGTATTACTGATATTTTCCTCAGGGTTGTAACAGCTTCAGTGTACAATTGGACCTAATTCATATCAAGAAAAAAATCCCAGTGTAGCTACTGCGGTCAAACAATTTATTTTTAATCTTATCCGAAAGGTATCACGTCGTTATATGGCATAACCTGAAAATTTTGGAATTCAGAAACCATATACAGCACTTCAACAAGAATGGCTAAGACTCAGCTTTCTAGAATGACTACACAGTGTTTCTTGGATGTGAAATTCACTATCTGCGACCAGGATACACTCGGTTGCCCTATATTGCAACACTAAATACATCGCTGACTACCCACATGAGTGAAAATTTCGTCTCCGAGTTGATCCGTGGCCTTGGAGAATGATTTTCTTTGAAAGGTATGAATGTAATATGAAAAGCTGTCTACTAGACACTGGGGCATATGAAGCCAGGTACGCTTGGCGACCGTGTGGTCCGATTCACAGAGGGGAGGACCACTACCATCAAGTAGAAATTTGTTTACTTTAAGGTTCCGGATAGCTCGGACCACGCAGTGCGTTATTTCCCGGTGACATCCGCGCATAATTCCATAATTGAACACCTAATTAGCATAATTGCTGACGCATGTCTCAGCCTGATAGCGGAGGATGAGTAGCCGTGTATTCGTGGAAAATTGAAAGATCATATTTGTTTCAAGGAAGTGTTCTGCCTATCTATGGTTGTCGACGATCAACCGAGACAATTTTCGCTCCCCAAACACAATGCCATAGCGGTCTCCTATTGATCACACCTTTATTTTGTATCGCGAATTCTGGTCACAAGTGAGGTAAATGCTTTCGAAAAACCGAGTAGCACTATTCAACCGCTTTCTCCCTGATCTCATCAGCAGTGCATATTCCACGAATTTCAAGGGGGAGGTTCAAGCCCGCGAGATTTCCTCCATTAGATTAACGTTATGCCGTTTGGTTGCGGGCGCCTGGTCAGCAACGATATATGTGGTCGCGTATTAAGTGTCGAGTGGGTCCTCGAGTACAGACTGCTCAGATTAAAGGCCCAAACTACTTACGAAAATTTCTACCTTTCTGAATTGTTTAGTGAAGGTTTTCAAGTAGTAACATCATATGTAGTTGCACCAAGGATTTTGGCCTTCAGAAGAATTGGGCTGAAGTTACTGAGCAGCCAGGCATGGCCGGGTGGTATGGTACTCAAAGCCTAAAGTGACCACCTTAAAAAGGGGGAAAATCACAGTGTCTGAACATTTTCAGTATTCTCATTCAACTCAGGTAACGCCGTAAGCCCAGATTATAGTTTTAGTTGGATTTTTGGATGAGCTTGCTATTTTCAGTTTGGTTGTTTCATCATCGAAGTGTGAACTAGTACAGTATCTGTAGGTTTTTAATGACTACAACAGTATCGAATAGGAGCATATTCAGCGGTCAGACTGTAAGGTACGCAAGATAAGGTTTTTGTGTTTTTCGCAGGCTGCTTCAGATCTGACGGTGAGCTGGCCCTGGTGACGACCGAATTATCGCGGTCCTTCTGGCTATCTACTTCATTCTTATTTTCTTATATAATGACCTGGGTTTTGATGTGCTTGGACGACCTTAGCAGCTAAAAGCTAATTTGGAACCACATGTTTCAAGCAAGGTCAAAGTGTACACTTATCGACTTATATCAAAAACAGCCAATTTTGATAGGCTACCAGGATGGTTTTCTGTTGTTCTTTCTATCACAATAGACGGATGCACATCGTTAACCGAGAGAAAAACGCTCCATCTACAGATGAAAATGGGAAGAACTCAGCACACGTTTGCTCAACTGTCAATAAGTTGTGCGATGCGCAGGTATGCGCAATTTGGAGACGGACGGCTTCGTAGAACTGGTGACAGAGAAAAAGTCGATCTTGGGTTCAGAAGTTTTCCATTTCCGGTTGTTTAGTCCAGATATAGATCCGGTTTTTTGAGACCACATAAAAACTGCTCTCAAATTCTTTGTAACTAGCATGATCGGAGTAATCGAAGTCCTCTGAAAACCCGCTTCCAGTTTCGTCCCGTCTGAAACTCCCTAAATAGATCGGTTCTCCTAGTTTAAACCAATCTGTCATACAATCTTGCGCTGACAACAATTTAATTTATAAATCAATTTCAAACAAAATATTTTCCGTTTGCATGATGTTTTACCCTCCGGTGGCCGTTCTCTGAAAGTCTCAGAAAAATACCAATCATGTGGCAGCAATTAAGTGTAAAAATGGCTAAGAAGGATTTACCCAGTTTCAGAAAATATTCGATCGGTGCGTATTTTGCTCGTCCATGATAGACCAGTCGTCCACGGAAAACCATCGTGAGGGAATCGAATAGTTTGTAGATTGAATATTTCGGTTGATGTATGGAGAAGATGATTGTACGTCCCCGACGAGACAGGCTGCGTTGTAAAATAGTCAAATAATTTAGGTTCAATCTGAAATATTCTAATACTGATTACATTACATGTGAGTTGGTTTTCGAAGAACTAGAAAATGTTGTCACGGTAGAGGATCGACATGTCGGTGATGATAGCAAGTCATGTTTGAATTAAAATGACGGCCAGTCTGCTAGTACAACATGAAAATTGCGGTCGATATAATTATGCAATATATGTAACACTGGACTCAAGCCTACGCTAGGTGTTTAGCCATGGCATCAGACCGTGAACCTAGATTAAGTCGATAACCTTATCATTAAATCGAAGTTGCCAGGCATCCGTAAAGAAGGTCGCGCTTTCATGAAAGTCCATTTTTACGAACAATACGGCCACAAAATACGAGTCATCGTTGTTCCCAACGAATTGAACATGCATCAACAAAATACGTCGACTATTATTACAAAAGTCAAGCACTATATAAAGGAGCTGTTATCTGTGGTACCAAGGGAATGTGGAACCAAGCAATGCACTGGTAAGCTTGGATTGTTACGCGGAGCACTGGTGTATGCATTCTGTTCAATTTACCGGTCAACGCTACTAATAATAGTAGTCATGACAAAAAGGGTGACGCGATTCCTAAAGTCAGTAACCGGCGGTTAGTATGTAGCAGCTTGAAAAATGCATCAAAAGTTTGACGTTGAGTCGAACAAACTCTGATTACAACAATAACTAATCATGTGCCATCAATTCGGAGTTAGAAGTCTCAGCCATGTGCCAATCATATGAAAAATCAATTTGTCGACAGAGCTAACAAAATCAATGACAGTGTGACAACCAAGCTGCTAAAGTACTGTAATTATTCGTGGTCTTTTATAAATTCACCCACTGGAAAGGCAAAAACGAGATCTTCATTTTTGAACTATATTGCCTGTGCAATCGGGCTTAAATAGTTAGTTACCTTGAAAATGTGCTGAAGGTATGCACCAAACCGCTTTCACCTTCCCAGGGGGCTTTTCCTGAACTTGGGTGGCGTAATTCCTTAAATTCCTTGTTCAAAAGAATGTGAGGCAGTTCACGGCGATAACTGTATCTTTTGAACAGTAAACTATCAAGTAAATATGCCAAAAAGTGTTGCCGATACCGGGACTGAACCCTACTGAATATGTCAATCGCCCTTCAGATTCCTTCCATGTGAAAACAAAAAAATGTGGAACGTCTCTCTTCTCTGTGACACTTACAATGTGAACACAGATAGGCGGTCTCACGAGAACAAGAAAACATGAGGGAATACGGAGAACTAACTGTTTACACTGCCTTGCTGCCTGAACTCGGAACAAAATTTATCTCAGTGTTTTATACTTGAACGTTTCGGCGATACACCGAAAGCTGATATAAGAAACAGACTAGTGCTCATCATTTCTAACAACTGAAGAGGGTCGGGACCAAATAAATTAGGTCCACTTGCTATATCATATCACCCTTCACATTTGCATGTCAACTAAACAGCTTACTTTTTCAGTGTTTTAATCACTTGTCCGGCCATGAAAGCATCCTGTAGTGGGGTAGGCTCATCCAGAAATAATACAGGAGGGTCGGTGATCAACTCCATCCCAATGTTGGTACGTTTACGTTCTCCACCAGACACTCCTCGTATCAAGTCGGTTCCAATCTGTAGAAAAACGGAAAGTGTAGTTGATGGAATAAGGTCGATGAAACCTGCTCGTAGACGTAAACTGAAAAGGCTCATGAAAGGAAATAATCCGGTCGATAACCACAGTCACAGAATCGAGGATATCGATGACAGGCTTTAGGCAATTCATCTTTCTAGTTTATTATGAGGTACAGTTAACTTATCCTTGGTATGTAAAGCTTTCTGTAAAACGACAGCAAGGAAATTGTCGCTTTGGTGTTCACAACCCCCATTTGACTTGGTGCGAATAAAACTCACTACATCTAAATAGCCAGGTAAGGTTTCGGATCAAACTGCAGTTAATATGGCCCGAATATTCGATGTGTGAATATATTCCATTATATACAAATGGGATTCAAGGGAAATCGCTTGTTCACAATGTTCTGCTACAAGCATCGCGCAAACTAACCTTGCTGTCAGCTACACTGGTAAGTCCAAGTTCTTCGATAATTTCATCCACCTTTCGGCGTCTCTCGGCCTTTGAACATCGCACAGTCATACGAAGAGCAGCGGAGAAATGAAGGTTCTCTCGTACCGTTAAAGTTCCCATCACGATATCATCCTGAAAGGAAAAGTAGGTGGGCCAAATTATCTCAAAAATCGTTCTGTTACCAAGCAATGTTCTCTGCCACAAACAGATTACAGTGTAAAACGATAATACCCACTGTAATGTTTTACATGGATATATGTCGCGATGGAAGAAAACTCAAGCTATTGCAAACACAATCAAGCACGCCGATGCTGAAGCTAACAAGACCTGGATTCAGACACGCAGAACTAATATAAAAACTGAATTCGCAGTACAGCAGTCGCCTAGAAATCTCAATACCTGAATCTATGAAGACGGGGAAAATGTGAGCCTACAGAGTTGACAATGTTGCTGTTCGCGGACATAAAACCAACGCCCAAACAGATGGTAGTATAAGACCATATCAAAATACGCTGATTCAAAGCAGGTTATCATGATGATGATGGAAAGTAGTGCTTGTATGAAGATTAAAGTAATCCAGATTCCTAGAATGATAGGAGATTGTGCCATCAATGCCTTAGTTCAGGAGCCCCCAGGCTTTGATCCGCGAGGCTGCTTCAGCCTATCGGTTGTTGACGAGCGGTAAAAATGGCACTCTAAAAAAACACATTAAACCCGTCGGAAGAGACCCACGGATCTCAAGGGTGGAGCCGCCTCATGCGGCGGAAAGTGTACTGCGTTTCAGAAAAAACAACCACGGCTCCCCAGTCAGACCCTTGCATGTTTGGTTTACAACCAACACGTCACTCATACGGATTGATCTTACATGGACTTGCTCTATCATATTCCGTCCTCATGGTGTGAAGTTCGCCTCATCAGAGGAAACGTACCCAAGTGCATCTAGATGGTCTTACCCAGCTATTTGTGACAGAGCGCCAGAAGACTTAGTTCTATTTCATTGTTCATGGATTAGGACTGATCAAAAATCCCTGGTTTAAGCCCACTACTCTTCCAACATTTAGACCACTTCATTTTACATTTGAGTGGCCTGATGTTTTGTTACGCTCAGCCAGTTTCCCCTACGCGCCATGCAGGATGCGAATGGAAGTAACGCCAAACAAAAAGAATGAATTTGATTGGAACTCCATCATGTCCATTCGATAACAGGAAGCACGCACACCTGAGGAACAAAACTGTCAAACTTACCTGAACTACATAGCCTGATATACATTTGAAATTCTTCGGTTGAGGAACACCATCCACTAGCACTTGTCCTGATAAAAAGCGCGGATCTTTTCGACCAGCAAGGACGTCCAGAAGTCTAGACAGGGAGAAAATAAATATTATATTACAAACCTGATAATTTTTCTTGCCTCTTACCCACCCGACCTCATGAACCTGATGCGCTAGGATCGGATAAAGATTCACACTTTTCTGGCAACGTCAACGCTTACAATTTTTGAAAAAGCTCACCAAAGAGATGAGGTTGGAGGCTGAAAACGACTTAAAAACAGATGATCTGTCTGAATGTCAGACGTTGGCCCGCTACCCTAGCGTGACACGAACACATCTTGCAATGAAGTGGATTCGTTCGAAATAGCAAATTTCCGTCCAAATCCATTGTAAGTCATAAGAGATAGACAAAGTCCCAAGGAATGGAAGGCAATAACTTCGTCTAACATGCGCCTCCTCAGATGAGTAGGAGCCCACATAGAACTCAACTTTTACCATCACAAATATATGGAGGACAGTGCACAGAAAATCATATAACGAAGATACATTTTGCTGACTAATAAACCAACTCGAAGCTGTCGCTAACTTGTCTATCTCTATAGAAAGCTGAATTTCCTGCAAAGGTAAACACATGTGTGAGTAGAGGGCTTAGTTCCTTCTAACAAAGGTATTATGTTGAACACACAAATAAGACTGCCTTCCTTATGTGACTTTATATCGGAGGCATTCAGCCCTTCCTCCCATAGCCTGACAGGCTAAACAAAAGCAAAATGAATCCAGAAACTCCACAGTGGTTAAACTTCCCTCAAGGCTGTATCTGCGTATGTACTGTTAAGGGTTGACCAGCTTAATAACGCTGCAGTCTTCAAACAGCTGCAACCTGATTTCTCAGGGTTTATGACCACATTATATTCCGATTATTTCGTTGTAAGATACTTGCAACGTTGTGTACCAGTGATTACACATTCCGATGCGTTCAGGCAGGGAATAAACTATGTATACGCGAAGCAATTCACCTATTCGACTAATTTCGCTCACTGCCTATCATCACTGTATAAGTCTTTCAGCAAGGACCTCTCGGATATTGTTCGTATTCAAAACTGAGACCTAAGAATGGTCCTAACGAGCCAAAGTTGTTGATCAGTGGGTAGACTTCTCTGTAAAATTAAAATAAACTATCAGTTGGATCACTTCGACTTATGCTCATCGTGTAATAAGATACAGCATGGATAGTTAATAGGCAATTAGCTACCAACCAGACTAGAAGATTACCAAACTGAGAAAGCCTCACCAATTGCTTTGTACTCCATTTCAACTACAGGACGGACTGCGCATAACAAACTCGATGAGGTCTGTCACATGGTCCTCTCATAGAAAGGTCACTCTCTCATAAGGACCATTCACAGTGCCTTAGATTTTATTCTGAAAAATATCAAAAAACCCCGGCAATAAAGGCCCCATTTAAACAAATGCCAGTCGTCCGTCTTTTATAGGAACAGTACCATCTGTCTCTCATCACTCTGCGAATAGCTACTGTATTTCTCTTAATAATTTTCTCTATGTTTCTTCACAACCTTCCGGTGTTTGCCGAATAAAACTGTAGAGTAAAAACAGGATGATTCGCCATTCCTATTCATCACTCATCACCTACTTTCGACAGGAGTATGTAATAATGGACTGATGGGGCTACCGCCCGAACTTCACTCATCCTGCAGGACACTGTCATCTTGAGTCAACCTCTGTCACTCTATATGGTGCATAGCGACCTGATTTCCCAGGAGGCGGTAGAAATTTGTTGTTCCGTCAATGAAAATCTCGGTTTGACAAACCTAGTGAGCTGTATCAGAATTTACTATGTATTGTTTGCCTATCTACATATGATATATTTGATACTCAGACGTCGTCCAGTGTGTTTGCGCCAGTATCTGTGTGGTCGATTTTGTTAGAGGTCAACGACTATGACAAAGAATCACGTACAAGGAATACGGACCAAAACCAACAGTTATCAGACCACTATTTCAGAATGACGGCCAAGTAGACCAGGAGACAACATGTGCATGAAAACTAGAGAGCTGCCAACTTCGGGGACGTAAACTTACAGCAAACCTCAAAGCGTAATGTACCAGTGGGCCGAAACGGAAAGCCATGAACGAGGACAATCGGCAAGCAGGAAATGAAGATATGCACAGAAACATCCACTACACTTTCCTACCCGAGGGGAGAGAAAAGTCCTCAGCAAACGAATGACCATGGATTACTTAGCAGTCTGAATACAGACGACGCAGGCAAGGGCCAAAGGGCACGTTAATGAATGCTAGTCTAATATTTTGATTTCTTGGTTGTTGGTCAGGTGGCTGTTGATCTGTTCGCCGAGCTTGGCAATTGGCTTGCAAACCTTTCACCATATTTGGTGGTTATACTTGGTGTTCAAGGCTGGAGTTCATCTTGAATTGGGCGCAGTAAAAAGTTTTGATAATTACCTGCGACATAACTTGTCTGACTGGAATTTATCAACAGATGGCTTCGACAACTTGTAAGGTGTGGATCATGCCCTAGGCTGTAAACTCACATAAGTTTTGCGTTCGGATAGTTAAACCACCCTAACACTCAGGCACTTCATATCTACCCATGAAAAATACCTAAATAAAATGTCATTATCATACCTTTTTTTAACGCCATGATATTTCAACCTACGCATGTGCAATCACTGGAAACAGAGCTTGGTATTGTGTGGTAGAAAATGATATGGTGAGTTCCGAGGAGACCGCACTGCAAAGAAGCCTTCAGTAATTCAGCTGTCGGTATATGTCTATTGGAAATCGTGAAGCTTTCTAAAGCACAACTTCTATGAAAGGCCGGCATATTTGTGACCCAACTTGATATCCACCGTGTGTTCATAAACAGGCCATAGGAACTTAATGTCCGATATATCCATCTCTCAGTTACCAGCCGTTGTTACTAACTGACAACTCACAAAACCAGACCAGCTGTCGCGCTGCTGATGCTCCCCAATAGGCATCTAAAGCTACTTAATGCTCCTCGGATTTGCAGTAGAAGTCGAATTCACTTGAAGGACAAAGATTTCGTTCAAATATATTCGCCATTCCAAGCTTGTGTTGTGCGTGGCGCTTGCAATTCAGTGCTGCTGTGAGCCGGCAGAGCGCAATAAAACCAGGTGTTCGTTTCTCGTGCAGACCAAGTATGGCCGAAAGTAGCAACTTGGCTTGGCTTAAAATCAGCGAAATACGAGTAAAAACATCATCACAGGATGTCGGCTGGGGCAGGTGTTTTATTACTGAAATGGTTGCTTGTTTCCTTACTAGTTTAGCCGACTTTTCACGGTTTCAGCAAAATCGACCATATTAGGTTTGCAATGTACACCTTTCCCTTACAAAAGAGTTGAAGAAAATGAAGTGAATTGACACACAGTTTGGAAGTAAATTCTTTTGAAAAAAGCACTCTTTCTGAAGGTCCGGGGAGCATCTGTCCACACACGCTTGAAACTCTTGAGTAAAGTGATGAGCGTAAACAGATGAATTCGCGAAAAAAATCAGAAACCAATCTTCTCATCGTCATAATAGTACTGAACGACTGTTTTTACCACGCAAATGAAACTAGTGGTAACAAATGGAGTTTGTAGAAAGTTGATCAGGACTTGATTATTTCTAAAGGGATTCACCATTCATTGCTATTCACTACACAGAGCAGGATTGGCCCGTTATGAACAGCACGAATTACGTGAACATCAAAACGACTTACGAAGACTTGCCACTTCCTGTGGGACCCATGATTGCATTCAAACCGGGACGCAATAGACCGCTGCGTAACAGGAAGGGAGGAAAGAGGTCCAAAAGTTGAGTAAATTGAGAATTTCAAATTGTGCAAAGCCTTTAAGGCTTTCAGGAAACATGAATATGTTAGAGAGAAGTAACTGTTTTTTATCCACCTTTCTCCCTCCATCGGTCCGCCTGTCTGCGTAGGACCATTGAACTCATTGAAATTTGTCTCACTGACAAAATTTGGTATTCAATCATGACTACCTTCGGGGTATAGATGCTGTGTAATTTAAGGGAAGCACAGTAATCGATCACTTCTAGTAAGAGGCAAAGAAAGATTGGAATCGGACTTAAGTAAGAAACTGGCGCTTTGAACTCCAAGTCATTCCACATGCAGGCAGTATCGGAATCTCACGCGAAAGTCTCATATTTTCCGGTAGCTAGCATCCCATTGGGAGACCTCCATGGAGGAAGCAAACCTGAAGACGACCAGGCGAAAGTCAGTTCACGATCTATTTTCAGGGAAAATGCATCGTTCTAACATACTGTACGGTGCATCTTTCGTTCCAGGTATTAGGTGTTAAAACAGGCATTTGGGGAGCGATATGTGCAAAATTAAATTGGTTATCAACCACAAAGCAGATATTATTCTCCAAGCTCGTCTGATTATTTGTGCTTTATCCCCATAACTTTGTTCTAATGGAATTCCGTTTTTTTTTCAAAGAAAGTGTCGACGAGCGAACCTGATTCTCTGAAATTCATGGGCGAGTATTGAAATGGCATAAAATCTAAATGTCCAATACCAGGACTCGGAAGTCCTTTCTATGTGTTGACTGCTTTATCAGTTTACTTGAAAAAATGTCTACTTGTGAGACGACAGAATGTAAGTCATTCTGAGACCACTCATTTAAAACCTGAAAATATCTCAAATAAATTTGAAAATGATCCCATGGAATGTTTGGATTACGTACTGCAGTACCTCAAGTACAGTGCTCCCTCAAAGAGAGCCAATCAGAGGGGAAATGCGCTAGCCAATCATATTCTGGGCCTCTTCTGGGAAGACGAAAGTTGGATCAACTAGAGACAGAAAGGGACAACTGTTATCGGCTTTGCACACGAGTGGGCTCATTATTGACTGTGTTGAAATAGTGGAATCAAAGTTTATCCTGTGAAGGTCTGTGCAAAAACCGCTCCTTTTCAAGTTTGGATTGTTGGCAATTGTTTCATTGAGCACCAGCCTCAAAGCTAATGTAATAATAAAACAGAGGTTGCCTCGCTTTCCAGTTAGTTTGTTCTGAGACCTTGGGCCGGTTATTCACCCAGTTAAGACTTGGCTAGTTATAAATCTGTGGGCATTACTTGGATACGGTTTTTTGTTTTTCTTTGACATCAGGCGGAACGAAACAATGTCACATAAATTTTGTGGGAGATGCCACCTTACTCACAGTCCGTGTGCGGTCTTTCGTTTAGTTTTGGGAGTCGGGTTTTCCCCAATCACAAAGAAATAGCCATTTCCATTCAAAGTACCCGGTAACGCGCACTATTCCGCATACCCAATCCTTTCGTTTGTGAAGAGCATATCCTGCAAGAACAACTAATAAACAAAGGTTAAAAAACCATGTGTTTAGATGCCAAAACTTCAGACATCGAAGCCCATAGTTTGGCACTTAACATGTCCTTCGCGAGGGCCAACAATAACTCAACTGAACGATCTGATTATTCACAAATATCCAGATCGGAGATTTGGTTAAGAATCTCACTTAACATGATATTTCTGCAACTAGCTGGTGTATTTTGCTGCTACCTCAAGGTGTACACTGGTCGATTTCATTTAGTTATTTACGTAAAAATCACGTTTGGTATGATGTGCAGAATTATGTCAGAGATTCTAAGTCGCATACGCTTTTGTCGTCTAGGCTTTTCACGTCACTATGGTAACCTAATCTCAAGAAATCGCCATAGTAACTCATTGATTCGCAAGCCGTGTTAACAGAGAAAACCCTAAAACCAAATATCAACGTTAGAACAGCGCAGTCGATAAGTTGGTGGTTCAGTCTCCGTTTTACTAGAAAATCTATAAAGATCCCGCAAGTTTTTGGTCTCCGAAAGCGTTAATTCATGCCTATATTTTCAGCGATTCTAATGTTGTAGGCCATCCCATTCACAGGGGATAGGATAGATTATTTGACAAGACACAACGGTTCGAATAAACCAGAAGTCAGATCAATCGCAAGGATTCATATCCCCCAGACGGCCTTCATTAAACAAATTGTGTTCTCATAAATGAAACTACTCACAAGGTTGTGAAAGCTCTACAACGGTTCGAATAAACCAGAAGTCAGATCAATCGCAAGGATTTATATCCCCCAGACGGCCTTCATTAAACAAATTGTGTTCTCATAAATGAAACTACTCACAAGGTTGCTGAAAGCTCTTCGACAGCCCACGACCGGTTTCGCCCTTCTTGGGGCTCATCAGGTAGGCGCAGTCCCCGAGTTTCCGTCACCCTTATGATCTACTTACTTTGTGCCCACTATGAACGTAAAACATGAGCAATCTTGAAACACCAGGGTAAAAAAGATGGGTGGAGACTGGATTCTGCGTTTGGACAGACAGTAGTTTGACGTTTTGTTCTATCGAGGATGGGTGATCAAGATACATATATAGATGTGTGATAGGGTTCACCTATCTCCCGCACTTCTGTCAACGTATTTGTGCAAGATGTAGCAGGTCGTTTGCTTACAGTCCTTGAAACCCCATCAAAATTTAGTGGAAGTGGGCTGATGTCATCACTAAATCAGATAATGATGTCGCATTTCTCACGTATCTTATTAGCTTGCATGCTGAAAACAAGTTTACCTATGGAAAGAAACAAGATATAAAGATCTCCTTCCTAGACTACTTAATAGAACGAACGAACAATGGTGGAACAGACACAAAAGTCCACCGGAACGAAAATCGATCAAAGAGATATTTGCGTTTAAACTCTGGACACCAAGTATGTAATCAGAGGGAAGTGGATATGGACCTTTATCAAAGATTAGCGTGATTAACCAAGTTCCCGGAGATAGACAATGTGGCCAAACTGGTTATTTCGATTCTGAGGTCGTATACCCCTATAAGGATGAATAAAAAAGTCATCGCAGAAACAAGGCGATGGCGTGCCAAGGTAATAATGGCCTACAGACAGATTCTGAACTGGTATGACATCCGAGTGGCACTTCAAGCGCGCGTACGCCAGGAAGTGGTCTGGTCCGTTTGAAGACATCTAATCGCCGATGCTACAGGTAGACTGCGTCTACAAACTACATTCAGCGACGGCAATGCTTGTCATATTGGTCATACACTTAGACATCTAGAAATGAAAGTGGATGGACATAAACTATGTTACAAGAAGCAAGCTAAGAATGTAGTACATATGGATAAATTGAAATGTGATTCAACAGGTGCCGACCGATCACCGAGCAGCCTGAAACACGGTTTTCGAAGCATCAAGGAGTGCCGTCCAACGGAAACTTTGTTACTCAGCCATACACCGAACTTAGTGAACCGAATGAATGGCGCAGACGTATACACTGTCTGGCAGAGCGTCTTGATCCTACCCGTCTTATCTTCCTGAGCTGCAGCCAACGCTAGCCGTTTGTATGCCAGACAATTCTTGACTCCATTACGCATACACAAAAGCCAAACTAATCTATCCTCAACACCCACCCATCTTAGCGAATATACACTCATTTGCAAACTAATTTGGTTTTTCAGAGACTCACCCATTACGCATACACAAAAGCCAAACTAATCTATCCTCAACACCCACCCATCTTAGCGAATATACACTCATTTGCAAACTAATTTGGTTTTTCGAGAGACTCACCTGGAACCCAGCTGAATCTCTCGTTTGTGATGTTCTCAGACAACTGAATATGCTGCACCAGGCCGCCTCATGTTTCAGTCGCTACGATATTCGAGATATCGCGATACATATATATTTTTGTAATGTACTACTCATAAGATTGCTGAAAATCCGTCGACAGCCCACGACCGGTTTCGCCCCTTTTGGGGCTCATCAGGTAGGCGCGGTCCCCGGGTTTCCGCTGAAATCGTTTGAACGGTGAGAACAAGGCTCCAGTCCATACCCAAACCGATGTGACTCCCATCCGTTGCATAGTCGATGATAGTAACTAACGAACTCCACTAAGTGACACTCGTGGTGGGCTGTCCAGATATTTACTTGGCTCTGTGAATGGTACCGAAACCCTGCACTGATTTAGCCCGCAAGTGAAACAGTGATCCGATTGGTTATTTCTCCATCAGCACTTAGGCTCTACTTCTTAAAAGCTACTATTATTCAGCAAATGCCGATTGGCAACGTGTCCCTGCCGTTTGACCTTTTGTCAGAACTAAATTGATGTCCAGCAATAAACCTTATTCAGGAACCTGGTTTTGCTGAATTAGAGCTACTTTCTCGCGTCCGAATCTGGTTACCTGTGCTTACAAAATACTATTAGAAATGGGTGGTAAACCAATACACGGATACACGCAAAAGGTTCTACCGTCATTCTCCATGTGTTCGTACATCTATACGCATCAGTTCATCGTTTTGGCAGTCGGTTTTTCTCACACAGACGTGGACCAAAACAAGGGAGAAAGGTCGTATCTCGGATGTACTGTTGCCAGTTATGGAAACAGAATGTAAGCCCAATGGAGAGGTGTCACTATGGAGGGTGAATGCAGATCAACTCACAAAAACCTTTTTCTTGTAAATGAGTAGTGGGAGTAAAACGGGTTAATTAAAGTGCGGGTGTGAGAAGCTTATGAAGTATTTAGAACTTAACCTAGTTGGGCACATAGCTGGCGATAACTTACCTCACATCATTTAATACTGTTTTTGTGACAGGTCGACTCCAGGGCATTTTTTTCAATTTAACTTCGTAACTGATGTGGTGAAACGATAGGGTAGATCCACTCAGATAGGTTGTCTGACTGGTGACACTTTCACCAGACCTAGGATAGCCGGGAAGTTCAACCACAGATGCGTGTATACCAGGGCTGGAAGGCATTAAATCTCGCGAAAACTGGGTAAAAGGACCGCTTATGGAGACAGCAGACGATAGGGAATCAAGTCTGGAATAGTGTTTTGAACCATCTGGATATGTGGGGCCGTAGGATACACGAGGAGCTGTTCTATGCTGGCACTGTACAGCATCCTGAGTGGATGACACAGGAGAAGTGCATGACAGCGTGTCACCCCAGTGCTGAAAAAGATCCTGATCTGGAGCACCCATATGGCGGACTGTTTTGTTGCGCATAACGGAGGAAATTTCTCCAAGTGTTTGGTTGTTTTGTGAATCAGGACTAGTGAAGAGTGCGGGACCGCTGGTGCGAGTCAAGCTTGGAGAGCGAAAGGTAGCTGTGTGTCTTGCTAATGGTGGACCGCCATGAACCGTCCGCAGAGTATCTGGTTGACTAGCAGGCACGTTTGCCGAAGCAGGAGATTGCTGGGGTTCCAGTCCCTGAAAAATAAATGTGCCATATCAACTCTTATGAATAACTGGGTTAATGTACTATTCTTACTTCAGAATGGTTACTTTCCCAATTTATATTTGTTCGGCTCCTTGGAAACGCACCGAAACTTTGGTCTATGAGTATTTTCTGCTGTTAAGTTTAGGTGTTATGGAATAAATCCTCTGCTTATCTAACGAGGCTCTGCACTCATCAATGATTTCAACATTACTGAAACAGAACAACTAATCAGCAGATAAATACAATTAGAGCCCAAAAGAGATGGACCAGTGTCGCACCAGGCTTCCTTTAGGCGTGTATCTCCACGCGGGTGACTCGATAGATTTGTCAGCCTGAGCAGTGTTACGAGTGCTGTTGATCCGCCGTGTGTTCTGCTCTCCGGTTGGGTGTCATATTTCCTATGGATTTTCTTTTGCTCCGCAACATGTCAGAATAACATGCCGTTTGACAGTTTCACTGCTTATGTCTTTTCAGTCCCAGCATTGGAGGAAGCATCGGCACTTGGAACAGCTACCAGTTTCGACACGGCAAGGGATCTACAACGAACCATGCAATCTCAAATGCAAACTGACAAACTAGTGAAAATCAGATCCTCGCTAAAAGTGTAAACTGGCTATCAGTACTGAATAACGATGTCGATAAACACGCTGTCATCCAGAATCGACAAAAGCGGGAAAAAGTAGGAGGACGCTTTTCCTAAATTCCACAATTTAATTTTCAAGGATAGCGGAGAATGGGTTCGAGCCGCCTATTCTTACAAGTAAGTTGGATTGAAAAACAGACGAAGTTCTGAAGGACTATCAGTAGGAAATATTAGAGAGGTGGTCTTATACTGCGAAACAACACAAACTCATTGTCTCCCCCTGTCTAATGAGAAACGCATCGCATTCATCATCCTGAGAACGCGTCCCAACACCTGGAAGTGATTTTCTAACTGGACCGCAAATTCTGGCTGAACAGAAAAAAATATAGACTGACGGTAAGCAACACGATGATGTTAAAACTGAGCAAAGCACATACCGATGCCCAATCTGTCAGCATACGGGTTACTCCGAGTGACGTTGGTCATTCAACATACCGACGAATCGCACACAGCTTCATTACTTTTGTGCCGAAAGACAACAAAGTTAGTCAGTGTTCTCTCTCTCTCACTGACGATCGATGTTTCACTCCACCTGAGAGCCAACCAAATTCGTGTTTAGTCAGGTCACGCCAATGGCATCACGTAACAACAGTCCTTCGCCTACGAATCATCTACCACCTGGAACTGGTGAGTTAACAGCTGACAATGCATGTACCAACAATCAAACTGCAAATATAAAAATGAAACTAGCGGGAAGGTTAATGCGAAAAGCCTACCAAACTAACAGTGTGATCAACCAGGGTTGGATTCCGGTCCCCTTCACTGAATCCCGCCTTGACGTCCGGTTCGAATACGTTTGCATTTCGATGCCTGTTGGTGTCTGTGATAGAATGCATGTACCCATTGACTGTTTCATCTGTACACTTCGGTGTTCGATCCAAAAGATGGTCGAAACTGGTACAAAACTTTGATGGCGTCCTTCCTTCGTCAGATAACAAAAGATTTTCCAACCGAGGACTAGTTTTGGCTGATTGATTCTCAAAGTTTTCCGGTTCCTCTTCTAGTAACGGGCTAATCATTGGCACTGGATGAGCGGTTGAAACAGCGGTGATCGGAGATAGGAAACTGATCAGCGATTGTCTGCTCTGTTCACCACAATCAAGTATCGCATTTATGAGTGCGGGAGGGAAAAAGATAAGAAAAACGATATACATGCGCATTAAAATACTTACATCGGTGTATGGCAGTTGAGAACCAGAAACAGAACAGGCCACCCTTTGACGAAGTCTTCGGGGGATTGGAGGGGCTATAAATTCAGCACGACTGTCAAAAGCTTGTTCTGCTGCGGTACGGTTGAGAGAATGACTACGAGCGGGGATACGCAACCGCATTCGAGTCTGTGGACGTTTTGGTAATTCGGGTTCAGCAGCACCAGTAAATGAGTTTTCACGGCGAAAGCCCACGTCAGAAGGTAATGGATGCGAAC